AAACGCCATGAGAGAGAATTCTGCCTTGTGTAATCTAAGTAAGTCTTGACTTGGTACTTGGTAATAAATGCAACAAAGACATTGAGAGAGAAGTCTAAAGAGTTCGTTATTTGATCACATCACTTCACTTGCATCCGACCCCAGAACTCGGGAAGCCCGCCACTAGCCAGGAACGAACAGATCTCGATATGATATGTTATTAACAAAGAAAAGCAATTCGCTCACGAGGGAGACAAGATAGGATGTTACATGGACAAAGGAACCCCTCTCCTTTTCCTCCACTAGCTCGATCGAGGGTAGGGAGGATCTTTGATGATGAGACAGAGAGCTGAATTGAGGAGTTCCTGATCTGTTTACTGTATCACCTTGAGACGCGTCTGGTGTGTTTACGTGTCTCTCTTTCATCTGATTAGGGCATTTTTGCTGTATGATGAGTCTTGGCAAGGGAAGACAGAAGCCATCGTCACTGAAGGGTAGCAAGATTGGGGTCCAATGTTTGGCTAAGACACCGCTCACACTGGTTTATGGATAAAGTCCGGTAATTGTTATATCTAAAAATGGTTACCTAAACTGACTGCCTGCAGTGGTAATAATTGTCAAGCTTGACCTGTCCTGAATTGTGTTCCCCTCCCTCCATGGGGGTGTTCCTGTAAGACAAAGTGATACCATCCAGCTAGAGTTGTCCAAGTTTCGGAAGCCGGACATGTCAGTAGCTGAGGGAGAGGAAAGGGCCTGTGACGCAACGTGGTCCGTGAAGCAGAGAGGAATATTGCTAACCTGCCAATCAACGATTCACCATTGACGTCGTTATGTTACAGAAGCAGAAGACAATGGTTTGCGGGTAATTCTTTGATTCCAGGGTAAGGCCGTGAGGAATTCGATCACCGCACTGTATGCACTCACCCATGTGGAGCCCAACAGGTACTTCATGTACGCACTGACCATGCTCGGAAGTGGTTGCGCTGCTTCTCCACTGATATCCATTTTTCCGTATTCTTCTATTGGTCATTTCGAGAGATCATGCATGTCTTAATTAACGCGTTGACGCGTTTTGACGCGTTTTTACTGACCTCACACGCGTCTCCCTCGCGACTTGTGCGGTAATCGCGCGGCGGCATCAAGAGCAAGGACTACGTTACAGGGCCAATGGCAAGGAGACTCGTGAGGGCATGCGCTGTAGACAAGCGGTGAATGATCTACATTGGCAAAGATCGCAGCATGGTCGGGTCTCGATTTCCCTGAATAGGTATTTGTATCATCGGAGTAGACTTGACTTATCATGAAGCATCTGACCCATGATGGAGGGGAGGGGAGGGGAGGGGAGGTGCAACTTAAGAAAGAGGAAACTCCAAGATCTCGATCAAGGAGATCGAATATTCTTTGGCGATCGACTGCCTTGCAAGTATTTGCATCGCCATAAGGCAACTGACTTGGGTGTGAAGACAACTTCGCTTTCAAGGGTTACAATGCCTACCTATGTACCTTATCTAAGGTGCCTCCAAGCAAGGTAGCCAACAAATCGCGCGTTCCTGCTTCTTCCAAAAGCGGGTGAGAAGTGAAAAGAACAAAGAAAGAGTGGTAGGATTTGAAACGGAGCATGACCTCACCGACTCACCTGTGAAGGAAGTAACAGAAAAAGGTCACGCAGACACACACACCCACTCACTCACTATTCGACACCTGGACCTGATCCCCCCATTTGCTGATTAGGTTGTTATAGACTGGGGAAGCGGGTAGTGGAAGGCAGACGAAAGTGTGTGCACATCAAGAAACAGGAATCAAGGAATGAATGAATCGGTGCCGCAGACATGATACAGCTTAGCAGGCTTCTATCGTCATTCGGGAGCTCTGACAACATAGGAGCCTGCAGCACATCAACGTGGAAGCGAACCGTACGGCAAAGGAATGGAAGGGTATGGATGAGATGGAAACCATGGGATGGTCCTAGCCCGTGCCGCGACGGCTCGCTCCCACCAGCCAAGGTAAGGCAAGGTAACTCTACCTTTAGCGAGGAATACCCTCGCCCTCCACTGCTGATGTGTCACGGAGAGTTTTTAAACTACCTAAGGTAGACATCCATCAGACAGATTCGTGTGTAACTGAGGCGCACCAATGTTGCTCTCTCAGAGACTACCTGATTGATTCAGCTTGGTCCGCTGGATCAAACGACCAGGAAGCGTAGCACAAAGTAGCAATATCGCAATAAACTTATTCTTGTGTGGATGAACAAGCGCGACTCGTCGAAATTGTCTGTGTCAACTTGACAAGCGAAGTCATACACGGCCTGCGCCTGGTTTAGGATGAACCAATGTTGCCCAATGCATGCATATCTTTTTCAAGTCAAGAAACTAAAGTTAGTACGCAGTAGTACATAAAAATCTCTAACTGGTGTGCCTGGTTGCATTAGACCCTTGCAGGTTAAGTTGCATGTATGTGTGCGATGTATACAATACAGTATAGCTTGAATGTCTTGAGTCAGCTAGGGCATCAAGCCTAAACCGGACGTCGAGGGCAGGCGGTGGTGCTAGAGAACCTATGAACACTGAGGTAGGTACCTAGGTAGGCAAGCTAGGGGGTGTCAGAAAACGTCTGACGTGAAGGTCTGATTTTGTATGGCGAATGTGGATTCCCACGTCAGACGTTTTTTGACACCCCGAGGGCAAGGTACTATAGGTAGTCAGTCAATTTCTCAGCCCAGAGGGAATTACCGTGGAGGAGATGTGTACAGAATTGCCGGTTTCTTTCTCTCTTTATTTTTTTTCTTGTTCACCTTTAGGGCTCCGCTGCAGCATACAATGTTCAGCTGCAGTGATAAAATGATCTGCATCTGCTCAACTTGGATGTCTTGGATGTCCTGGCTGTTTCGTGCATGATCACAGGGAAGGGATGGATGAAGGTTTATTGCTTTTTGGTCAAACAGAGGGAGAAACATGGGGACGAATATGCAGGGCGGTTGATGTCAGAACGGTTGAAACGACGTTAAGAAAGGCAATAATCTCTCCAATAGACGGAACAGATAAAGGGTCGGCAAGAAGGGGGCCTACTTTCTACCCTAAGGCACCATTGAATGTATTGATCTTGAAGCTGAAGGGTTGTAGAGAGGGATGCATTGTTCAATAGTATCCTCCTAGATGCGGAGCATGATGTCTCTCGAAGCAACACACATGTAAGATCAAAGGTCAATCCAAAAGGAAAAGGAAAAGGGAGAGAGAAAGAAAGAAAGAAAGAGAGAGAGAAAGACAAAGACGTATGCCATCTCACGCGGTATCATGGAAATGTCCCGATTGCTTCCGGACAAGAAGAGAGTGTGCTGAGACAAAGATCGAGGCTGTCCAGGATGTCTCCAATGTCATGGTCCGAACTGGACACCCACCAACGCTTGGTCGATTCCGTACAGTGCAGGGCTCTAGCAAGGGTCTACATGCAGAACATATGCCTCATCTGCAAAGAAACATGTATCATGTGCGAGAAACATGGGTCTCTCGTTCCTTCTCTGCCCAGTAATCCGACACCGTTGTGAAAATCCATCGAGACTACCCGGAAGCAGCAATCAGCATTTGCGTTGCCAGAGGCACCTACTACAGTAGGTACCTATTTGCCTGGGCACCTGCCCCCTGCGACACCCTTGTCCCCTTTCCATGTCCGATTGATTCCCAACACCTGGAGGCGGAGTGCTCGGGAGGGTTCTATGTGGGCTATCAAAGCCCAAAACACTTCGTCAAAGATCATTTGTCCTGGGTATTGGCGATCAGGTGGTGTACGAGGTCCTTGACCCTCACCACAGTACCTACGACAGGCAGCAAAGTAAGGTATCTACCTCACTGTCACTTGGTATATGTAATATCTAATAAGGCAAGTAAGTACCTAGGTACCTAAGTTAACTTAAGTCCTACTAATTACATAAACAAATCCCTCTATTTACATAAATAACTACCTATAATTAGGTATAATTACTATAAAACTTTAAGTTACTTTTTCAATCTATATAGTATACTATACTATATAGATACTATATATACTAATTACTTTTACTTTATTTTTACTAAAACTAGTAAAAAGTAATATATAAGGTTAGGGTTAGTTTTTAAGGCTTAATTAGTACTTAATATAGTAAATTTACTTTTTTATAATATAGCTATAGTTAGGGTTAGGGCTTAGACTAAAGTCTTAGTAAATTTCCTTAAGTATAGCTTTTACTTAACTATCCTAATTAGGTTTAGACTGTTTATGCAAATAGACATTTCTATTCGTACGATTAGTACGACTCGTTAACTTTACCGCTGCCGCTAAAACGGGCGCGAACCGACTCAAAACTCACGGGAGGGTCCACGTTGCTGGGCGTCTGCACTGTATCTGCACCCCGAGACAGGCCCAGAGGGTACTTGTCGACTGCTGGAGGCTCCTTGCTCTGGGTGCGCGGCTTCACCCAACGACCCCGACGGTAGGTGGGACCTGGGACCCTCCTTCTATGACCCCGGTCCCAAGGTCCTTCTAAGGTAGTTGTCGCTCACTTCCACACCACACCTCATCCAGATCCATATTAGGCCACTGCGTCCCCTGCCCCTTCCCATCCCATTCCAATGCCACTTGCCTGACCAACCCCCCGTTCATTCCATTTCCCACCACAACCACCGCATTTCCTGCTCTTCACTCCGACAACAGACTCAGTTTCTCCCTACAACAACATCAACACAAACACAAACAGACAAACACCAAATCGTTTGCATTCTTGACTTTCTTAATAGTCGCACCGCAACCTTTTCATCTCTCAATCGACTCGATCCTTCACATCACCAATATCGCGCGCGCACTTAGAAGCATCGTCAAAAAACTGCCCGCCATACTTTTGCGCCTGGCCGCGTCGTCTATCCCAGTCGCAATCGCACCACTCGCCAACCACCGCTTTGCCCTTCGCCCTTTGCACCAAACAACAACAGAAGTCGCTGCGATCATATTTCGCATCTTTATTACTTGACACCAAATAATCGAAACTCGTTGCCATGCTTCTCCCATCCGCGCTGCCTTGCGATGCATCGCACTCAACCCACTCTCGACTGCAGCCTTCTCTTTTCTCGCCTCCTGCCAGCCCTCCGGCTTTCTCGTCGCACGCATCTTTTGCCAACATCATGACCACATGTCGCTCGCTCCAATCACTACTATCAACACCTGCGCCTATTATCACCAATCCTCGCCCGACTCCCTCGCTCGCCCAATTACCAACTCCACCGCTCGCCCATGCGGCGCCTCCTCTGAAGTTGCGCCTCCGCCCACGCCCACAACGCCGCGAGCCAGTTGGCCCCAAGAAGGTCACCAAGCGTGCGGCACCGCGTGCTCTCAACAAGAGGCGCCGTGCTGCCGACGAGGAGGCGGAACGCTATTCATCAGCGAGCGAGTCTGGCAACGAGTCACCATCGCGCCGCTCAACCAAGCAAGTCGCGCCCTCAACGCCAAAGCGCACGCGCATTGCCCCTGAGCAGCTTCCTCTCGGCCTCGACCGTTCTGACTTCCACAATATGCATCTTCGACAAGGCGGACATCTTCTCGGAGAGGAAGACTCCTCCGATGAAGAGGACTGGAGCGCCGAGGACGACCGTATCCTCATTGAAATCGTGCTAGAGAAGCTGAGATTGTCAAAGGCAGAATGGCAAGACTGCGCCCGAAATCTCGGCCGCGACCGTCATGCTGTCGACCGTCGCTGGAAGACGCTGTTGCTCAATGGTGACATCGGTCTCAAGTCACGACCAGGACACTAGGCAACTTCAATTGGATCTCCCACAATATTTTCTCGTACATGATTTTATACATTTGACCTTTAGCGCAAGTCTCGGCCGAGCATCATCGGTAGCGAGCAAAAAGAAAAGAGGTCTACAGGACATAACATGGGCAGTGGGCTGCCCTTGGAGTTAGATATTTTCTTCCACGTTTTGTAATGATATCCCCACGCGTGAATGCGTGTATTCAGTTTCACATTTGCTTTGTTTTGGGTCAAGAATCGGAATATGGTACTATAGAAGATATCAAGAATCTACAATGTAACGCCAAAAGTTCCGCATTTCACTTAATCTTGCCTACTGGTGTCCCATAGGTCGCAGTGAGTTTGAACACACCATCACGGTCTCCATCAGGGTTCGATATTGCGTGCGCCAGCCTCCATATATTGTTCCAATACTATTATCGTGGCTGACATGTCAGGAAATCTTATCCAAAAAAAAAAATCACATGTCAAGTGAATTATACGAGTTGGATGTTTAGGTACTGTGGAATGAAGCAAACTGGGCCAGTACATAAAAAAATACCTCTTCAGCTCATTCTTCACCCGCATGTTCAGATGCGTCGCCTATCGCCCATCCCGCATTCCTCATGGACCAGGCGCACGGTCTCTCCGGAAATCACGAACAGACCATCGAATCGGGCATCAATATACATGAGATTTGGTACTTGTCCCAATTTTCAGCATCCTAAGTCTGTTTGTACGTTTCATGCCACGAAGTCAGAGTTGAAACCTGAGTTTGGACTTGATTGTCGAGTCAGACAGTTTGATGGCTTCCACTGTTGGAAAACAAATACACACCAGGAGTATTCAGCAGATTCGGTCAATTGAAAACTGGTTGCAATGTGGGAGAATTCCCTCAAGTTTGCAAAAAACAAAAAAACAACGAAAAACGAAAAACCTTTGTACCTACCGTACTGGGCCGTCGAATTCCTGTACTTAGGTACTAAGTAGGACTTGGACGTATCACGATGTTAGAGTGAGGTGCGGATTTTATTGCACATTAGGTAGGTGACTTCAGGGTCTGTTCATTCTCGCCTTCTATCCTTCTTCCGTTGTTCGATCTCTCGCCTTTAGCGTGCGCCTGGGCCTGGGGATGGGACGGGCGGCGACGGGCCGGGACGGGGGGTACAGCTGTTGCTGGGTAACGCCAGAAAGGTTGTTTATTGTTGATGGCGAATTGAAATTAGATATTCTCCTTTTATGAGTGTCTGTTTAATGATAGTGCAGTTTCATGTGATATGAATTTCATTTAATCTCCTGGAGCATACGTTATGCTCTGATGATCTATCTATGTATGGTCCTATGCGTAGGAGTCATGGCAACACCTGAGCAATACCATGAGTTTCTAGAATCCGTAGCAATCCGTCTTGTACACCCCTTGCTTCCTGCCATGCCATGAAGTTCGTAAAAGTATTATGAGTAAACCGTACAAACCCTCTATAGCGCTGTAAAAAAAGAAAGAAGAGAAAAAGAAAAAGAAAAAGAAAAAGAAAAAGAAAAAGAAAAAGGAAAAGAAAAAGGAAAAAGAATCAACGTGCCTCGAGACACGAAACCGCCGTCATTATGGGGTTACGATGCTGGGAGGAAGACAGGGCATGAACCGTTCAAGTAAACCGTAAAATGCAACGCAAAAGCCAACGAGGTTGATACACAAGCCGCTCTGCTATGCAGCGCAGAGAATCAAGTTCTTACAATAGAGGTAGATCGTGGAGAAAAATGTGACACAATATATGCGTGTGTAGGGAAACGTGCGGGCTCTTGGACAGTTGCTCAGGAGAACATCCCCCCTTCCTAAGGAGGCGTCATTTGTTCCTCCATGAGCATCTTGCGGACCTCTGTCTCGAGGGTCTGCTCTGTCACACCGGGATCTTCGTCAGTCACAACACCAGTGACCTTGTTTGCGAGCTCGATCTTCTTCTGACAAGCTTTGTAGATGAGCTCCTCGATTGTGTTGGAAGCGATAAGTCGAATGATTTCGACTTCGCGCTTCTGACCAAGCCGATGGGCTCTGTTCTCGGCCTGGATGTCATCTTGAGGGTTGTCCGACTGGTCAAATATGATAACTTTGTTTGCAGCCGTGAGGTTGATACCTGTGCCACCTGCTCCGGTTGTGAGCAGGAACACTGGAATATCCGGGTCGTCATTGAACTCGTCAATCAGCGTCTGTCTCTCCACAACATGGGTGCTTCCCATCAAGACTTGATGCCGAATATTCTGCTGATCGAGCACTTCCTGCAGCAGCTCAATGACGCGAGAAAACTTGCTGAATACAAGGACTCGGTCACCGTTCTTCTGATACTGATTGATGAGCTCGAGAAGTTTCTTCACCTTTCCGCTGTCCATCTCAGTCTCTGGAGGGATGTCGAACTTTCCGAGAAGGCCTGGGTAGTCACGACACCAGAGGTGAAGTCCAAAATCTGAAGAGTCCTTGAGTTCTTGAATTAGATGCTTTATGTCGGGTTGACGGAGTTCATCCTGAGAAACGCTATCCATCAAGATTCGAGCCATCTTCTCAACCTTCTTGTCATCAAAATGGCGCCTGAAAAGGAGTGGGTGAAGTGCTGCCTTGCGAAGCTGCATCCAGCAATTGTTTTGGTCATTTCCGCGGCCACGGACTTTTGTGACGCGCTTGGACGGCTCAAGCTTGAACATCTCCTCGTACTCAGCATACACTTGCTTCTGGTTCTTGTCCATGTCGCAGCGGACGACATTGCAGATCTTGGAAGGCATATCTGACAAAACTTGATCTTTTCGACGCTGAAGGATGAACGGCTCCAAGATAGTTCTGGCTCGCTTAACACGCTCACTGTACAGAAAAGCACCGTTTGAAACGTCTCTGATAGTGACCTTTTGGCTAAAGATGTACTGAATGTGTTGCATACAGCCATTGAAGATAGTCGGGTTTATGAAATTGAGGAGTGAGGTCATCTCCAACAAATTGTTCTGAACAGGAGTTCCTATACAACATTAGCAAAAGCGCCCATTGAGAAGACCAGAGGTAACATACCTGTGAGGAGCATTTTCCATGATGCAGAAATACGGCGAAGATCTTTGTATATCTTGGTCTCTGGGTTTTTCATCTTGTGGCCTTCGTCAAAAATGGCAGTGTGCATTCCAATAGACTGCATAGCCTCAATATCCGCGTCGTTATTGATCTGTGAGTATGTCGCAAGCACGACGTGGAAGGCTTCAGGATCATGTTCGATCTCATATGCGATCTCAGCTCGCTCTGCCTGAGAGCCTCGGTATCCGATCACCGAGAGGTCTGGAGCAAATTTCTCAAATTCTCCTAGCCAGTTGTTGTAGGTACTTGGGGGAACGACAATGAGATTCGGCCAAGGACGATTTCCTTTTCTTCCTTTGCTCTCCTCATAATCCTGAACAAGGTGGCAAATGAGTGAAATGACTTGACAAGTCTTGCCCAGCCCCATCTCATCGGCAAGGATACAGCCTATGTTAAACTTGTAGAGGAGGGACATCCAATTAAGGCCTACAAGCTGGAAAGGTTTCATCTGGCAATATCCATCCATGTACTTGGGCTGTTGGGCAATAGGTGGGCGCACGTATCTGGGCGCGCTGATGCTTGTAGGGGTTGGAGGCAGATCGTCCGAGTTTTGGCTTCGCTCTCGCTTACTATGCCCGAACGTATCGATATCCCAGGTATCAAGCTGCTGTCTGATATCTTTTGCATCGCGGTCACACTTGCCGACAACATTGTCGATTGCAGCAACTGCATCAATAAAGACCTCGACAGCCTCCACAACATTCTCTCCAATGCTGACTTTGGAAGCCTTTCGGGCACCAGGCTTTTTACCGACGGTGACACGCCTAGCCTTGGAGATGTCATCAAAAGGTCGCTTCTCGATCATACAAGTAAGTTGCTCTTCCTTCATGCCTGTCATGGCAGCTAGTTCTTGGACGGTGCTTGTGTTGAGACAAGTCAGCACCCGATCATCCTCATCGTCTGAAGGCTCTGGCGATGCCTCCGCCTGATACGTATCCTCTTGGCCATCGTCAACAAGGTCAATAATTAGCGGATCGTCGCTTGAGGCATGGGCGGGGGGAGATGACGGGAGCGCTGGAGACGAAGGGATCGAGGTCTTTCGGAGACCTTGTACTAGTCGACGTCGGGGTTTCTTTACAGGGCTGAGGGATGCTGTGCGTGAGCGGGAGCTGGCTCGGCTCGCTGCTGCTGATGATTGGAGAGCGGCCTTGCTAATCAGACGTCTGCCAGGTTTAGTGTTGGACGCTGGCTGTTTGGACTGGTGCATTTGTCGTTCGAGATAATCCATTGCTTCTGTGAGATCGTTTTTGCATGCACTCAAAGCCTCCTTGGCCTTGTGCGAGGGCACTCTATCTCCAAAAACATGATAAATCTGCCGGAGTCTAGTCTTGATTGTCTTTTCCGAGCTCTCTGGTTCAGGATTGTACGCGAATGCCGAGATCTGTGCCTTAAACGTTGTCGGTCGAATATCGCCACGGGGAGGTGTGAGGTCGTCCTCATCGTCCGAGATGAGATTGATAGGCTCAACAGCCGGTCGCTTGTTGGTCATTGCAGGAGGAGACCGTTGCGGAGGACGAAAAAAGGTGCCGAGAGGGGCGATTCTACTACCAAGAGTGTTACCTAGAGGTGTAGGCTTTTTAGGTTGTTGGAAGGGTGATGATGCAGGAACTTCCACAATACTGCTTGCAGGAGAGGAGCTTCGCATTGGTGCAAGTCCAGGTTTCTGAAGAACTTGTGTGGGTTGTGTTGTAGTATCTCGGTCACGAAAAAAGGCGGATGGAGAGCAGGGAATCGTGTCCGTTATTTCATCGGCATCGTCAATGGTTATTATATTGCGAGCGAGCGATGGGGTGCGAGGTAGAGCGTTTGAATGCCGGATTGGCAAGGGTGAAGAGCTTCGTGCCATTATAATTGTAGGTGAATTATTAGGGGCAAACGAAACAATAGGAGTAAAAGTCGAGGCTAGCAGTACTCTGAATCGTCTAACTTAGGGCGGGGGCTGCCACTGCGAATGAACGAATTGAGCGTTTGGTCTGTTCTTCTCTGCCCTTCTTATCGTTCGGCCAACAGAAAACAGGGCACTGGATGAAAGTAGCAGGCCGGTGTCATTAAGGAGAATGCTGAATAGAAAAGGAGGAAAAAATCAAGAAAAGACAAGTTTAAAGTCGGAGAGTGAGAGATGACGGTCTTGCAAGTGCCAGGAGGATCCCAATCCAAAGTCCTGGAGGGGCGTGAAGTGAGCGAGTGAAGGTGGAGATTTTTGGAAGTGCACTCAAATCTTTAACGCGACCCGCATTAACTGCATCACGAAGTCACGTGAAAATTCAGCTTCGCGTCAGTGTCAGATGCATCAAGTGAAAGAGAAAGGTTGGAAGGAGTCAATTGAATCAGTGACGGAAGAAAACAAAAACAAAGTTGATCGGGTTGAATTGTTAGTCAGACGAATAGCGATTTTCTTTATGGGTCTCAACTTATTGTGAGAACAAAGAATCCCACACTTTCTATCTGATGGCGCGCGTTGATCATCTCGTGCTAAGTGCTTCTTAATCCTCAAACCCACTTCCTCCTACTTAACTCCTACCTTAGTCGCACGTGCAAGTAGGGGCCCACCTAGATCTAACCTTCACAGCTCAATTGAGTATCCTCAACTCGACTGCAGCACTCAAGACGATACTGCCGAGCCTAACCCTCCTCTCGTACACTCTCAAAATGGCCACTCGACGCATCGTTGCTACGGAAAAGACCTTCCTCGATAAGGATGACCCCATCGATGAGAATTCTAGTACTGCTCCTGCCGTTCCCAGGTAAGTGTTCTCTCTAGGTATTTATTTATTTACCTTATTCAAACCGCCATTATTGCCACCCATCTCATCTTGTACACTGCACTACATCGATCGCATCCATCCAAACTGACGATTTTGACAGCCAAGTCATCTACAAGCTTCTAGCATTTACTTTTGCAATGATTGTGGTCCCCATTGGTTCCTATTTCCTCACTGTTAATACCGTCTTTCGTGGTATATCTTTTCACCCAGACGTGTCATCATCAAGACTAACCACAAACAGGAAACTCTTCTCTTGCTGGTGGCTTGGCCGCCGTCTTGGCCAATGTCGTCCTTGTGGGATACATCATCGTAGCTATGAAAGAGGATCAGTCGGACAAACAAAAGCCAGAGACCAAGAAGGACAAGTAGACGCAGCGTCATATACAAAGTTGATTCACTCTTTCATAAATTTCTATCCGGCAAGATAAGAGTCTCAGGGGGCAACCGTCTCAATTATTTTCTCACGTCATCTTCATGACCGTGCCTCGCTAGCTTGGGCGGACCATCATGTCTGGATGACCTTCCCAGCCACGTGTATATGCTATGTACGTCTCAAGTGTGAGTATAATTAATGATGATTGTGGTGGTAGATCCATCCTCTGCCCTGCTCCTCAGGGATACCCTCAAAAGGGTTGGCTACACAAGGCCTAACCTGCCAACGCCTCGTACAGTTCCGTTTGCTAATGTACCATTCCGTAACAAAACTCAATGCTTCGCCTTATTCCACAGGGGAAAATAAACCATGTCGTCACAACTGTAAACCAATCTGACCCAAGCTAAACAGTATCTGCCGCTCTGCCCTAGAAGAGGGACGAATCACGAGGCATGGCAGCATACTCCGGGGGTCCATCGCGAAAAAAAAATCGTCGAATAGTACAGGCGCTTTAAGTACTGTTCAATCGTGCCATTCGACGATGAATATCAAAGAAAACGGGTATCGACAAATGAAAGTAGTTGCATAATAAGGTTTGTTTCGTGTGCGTGTCAAACGTTGACAGTCATTACTGAACCGTTGGCTTTTCAAGAGTTTTTGCTGAACCTACGAGAAAACCAACTCTTGCGCTTGTCCCCGCCTGCTGCTTGTTGAGGTTGGTGTGTTGACTGTTGAGTCGATGTCCTCCTTAAAAGGGTATTCTTCTGTTTCGGCGGTGGAATCGAGGCCTGAGCCTGTGTCGAAGGAGATTGCGAATGCGAAGGAGGAGGTGGTTGAGGTTGTCCCTCATTGTTCGCACCAGAACCAGATGCTGGCCAAGGGCGTGACTGGTAGGGCTGCTGAGGCTGATATGAGCCGGACGCATACTCATTGAAGGGTTCGCGGCGCTTAGCCGGCGTCGTCCGATCGATTGAGCTGTTGTCGCTGCTCGTAGGGTCTGTCTGATAGCCTGCGTGATCCGAATTGCCACTACCCGCAGCAGAAGTCACCGTCTCGTATGATCGGTCCTTGTGGGGGAGAGGATAGATATTCTGATCGTGGCCGCTCTGGTACTGTGGCTCAGACTGCATTCTAGACATCCGTTGCCGAGATGGACCAGTGCCAATGCCATTGCTATAAGCTTGCCCATCGAAGTAGTTGCTTCGGGTAGACCCATTCTCAAATTGATTCTCCGGTCTAAAGGAAACGGGGCGATTGTTGTAGTAGTTGTCGCGAGGGAAGCGAGGCTGACTGTTATAAGAACTATTCCGCTTGTTCCAGTTGGCCTGTGAATCCGTTTCTGTGCGGTGTTAATAAGTTGACTGAATCTGATGCAAGACATCTGACTTACCCGCTCTGTAGAGAGACTTGCGTGAGTAACCACCATCGATGGCGGCCTCGAAACTACGGATAGTGTCTAATGGGCGCTCCCATCTGTTCCGAGTCGGGTTGGATTTGTCGGGATCCGCTATATGAGTTGTCAGTGGTGTCATGTTGTTTATGCTAACGAGTCTACCCACCGATAGAGTTGCCGAAGGCATCCTTGTGTTGCATGGACCGCAAAGGGGCAAAATTCGACTCGGTCATCATGGCAGCGATGGCAGCTGGTGTAGCGTTAGTATGTGACCTCAACTTCCTGTTGCAGACTCAGGAGACGTCCTAACATACATGGCTCTGCTTCGCTTATAGCTAACGTGGGGTCCGCTTTGCTATGTAAACGCTTCGCTTCCTTCTCGGCGTGGGTTTCTTGCAAGTCCTTGCTACCAGAACTCTTATGCGACTTTTGAGAATGAAAGCTGAAGGTTCGGTTGTGGGCTGGCGGATTCTGCGAACCTTTGCGCGGCGAGACAGGGGCAGTCTGTTGATATTGCTGCTGTTGATGATCCTGCGCCGTATAATTCGACGGCGGCGATGGATATTGGCGATATTGTTCAGTGGAGGTAGCCATGGTCGCGGCGCTTGGGGGGACGACTGTTTTATTTGACGTGGTGCTTGGCCGCAATGGATCTCAGAAAGGCCCTGGCTTGGCGATTAGAGTCTCAGCGTGATAAGGCGGGTGGAGAGTTGCAGGCAATCGACCGATGCGATGGGGATTGTGGATAAGAAACTGGAGATTGCAAGGAGCAATGCGGTCGGGGAGAAAAGACCGAAAGCCAGACCAAACGGCGACTAGCAAGGAAGAGCAGGAATTATCGTGGATCCTGGGACGAATATATTGGGAGTGGAGATTTATTAAGAGTTGCTGGCGTAGAAGGCTGTGATGAGAGGCTGGGCTTTCGAGCAATAGTGTGGCCCGGTTGCGTCGGAGTTTGGGGGTACGTATCGTATCAGAAAAGATCCCAGTAGATAGGTGCTTGGGGAAGGGGTGGGGATGGCTCGTGGGCGGGCGCCTGCACTGTAAGAGAAGAGCTAGGAGCCAGGTACCACAGGATTTATGAAGAACGAGTGGCTAAGGAGACAGGGCGATGATACCGTACTCTGCACGCCAAAGTGAGGTGAGAGGTGAGAGGTTTGATGTGTCGCCGGTGGCTACGGGTGTTTCTGACTCCGTACGCGGGACAATGTGATCATTCGTTGGCACTGTGGTCTTGGCCTGGACTGGTACTTTAATTTTGAACAACCGGATAACGGCGCAAGAGAACGATGCGATGTATATCTGTAGAAAGGCACTGAGCTCTTGCCCTTGTCACTGGCCGTGAAGCAGTCCAATAAATGTGACCGGAATGTGGGAAAGCGAGTCGCTATTTTCTTTATCAGGCCGCGTTCAAATGCGAGCTAGAGCGGCGCCGGGTGCGTTTTGATGCTAATGCCTGCGGCTGCGTGATAATGATGTGGGATCGGCGTACTGGGGGCTGATCCTCGTAAAGTGACTGCCGTTTTTTGGTCTGCTTGTTGTTTCTTTGGCAGTGCCTGAGTATGGAGCTTATCCCCTTTCGTCTTTGATTGGTCTTTTTTTATCACTTTGTTGGGGTATCCGTCGGAGAAGGGATCTTCGAAAAAGTCCAGTGCTTCGTGGGTGCTTGGCTTGGGCGATTACTCGTTTGGTTTCTTTTTTCCTTTTGCCTTTTCTTGACGTCACTATTAATTAGAAAACTTCTAGTGTCGGCTGGCGTGAAGTTCAGGGGAATTGAGCCGTGCCACGTTGAAACTGATCGGAAGAATCGTCCGGAGTGGCTTGCTGCTGAGACTCTTTAGTGCTCGTTTTTGATGGACAGGGGTCCGGTCGATAGTGGGCCTCGCGTGTTATCGAGTCGCTAAAAAAGGTGACGGAACGGAGTTGGAAATTTCTCAGAGGCCAGGGGCAACGAAGATTGTTGATGGAGCCAGCCAGGGGATTCGACTGGATATCGAGCTAATACCGCAAAGCCAGATGCAGTTTGCTGGAAATCTGGGGATATCCGACGTGCAAGAAGCGTTGATTTATTAGTGGGATCCTGCTCGTTGATCAATTACTCGTGAATGCGCAGGTGAGATGTCTAGGTAGGTAGGTTCTTGATAGGTTCTTGAATAGCGATCTGCCCCTATAGATGGGTTCGAATCGATGATAGCTTCAACGCAAACCAGTAAACGAAAGACAACCAAGAGCAAGCAGAGGAAGCGAGAGTGAGGATGCGAGGACTTTGCTTGGTGAAAAGTGAGGAAGCTTTTTAGGAAGAGTGAAGGAGGAAACTACGTAGAGGCCAAGAGGGGTTTAAGTGAGGTGATATGCTTCTATTAAAGGCTGATAGTAGGGCACCTCCCCATCGGTCGGGATGGCATGTTCGTGTTTAAGTTGGTAGGAATCGGCTTCGTCGCAGCTTCCGTATTCGCCGACTCCATTATGAAAACCAACTAAAGGAACGATTTGGTGCTCAACACCACACCGGTATTGGTATAGATGAACAATTGATACACAGACTAGGGCCAGTTGGAGGCGATTGCATACGCGTACAACTTCAACATTGCAGCATGGAGCCTCTACGACTGCCGAAACTGTCTGCATCAGATCTCGAGCAGCACCTTTTGAAGACGGGAGCCTACCTCAGGTAGAGAGGCCTTCCCTAGGCCATACTCGGAGAGTATCGAGATACACCGGATCACCAGGTCATGACGCGTCGTTTCCTCTTCCTCCCCGGCTACTGCTGCAGTGACGGCCACGACATTCATACGGGCTCTCTACATACAGTACATCTGCATCTGCATCTGCATCTGTTGCTTACCATTTACGAGGATACAGGAGCTTTGTGGCCCAATGGGGGAGAATAATAGCTGCAGAGTTGCAGCCGCTTGCACCAAAGTTTGGTACCTTGAATTCTCATTCGAGGCTAATAATTCAGTTACCACCCTGTGTAGCTGATGATGTTGGCTTTTACAGTGAAAACCGTAATCGTCGTCAGCCGGAGGCTAAGCCATTAAACTCAATGGCTCCTCCAATAGACACTGGACGGTACCACCCCGTCAGGTATCCCACTTTATGCAGAGTACCGAGTACACATTCTAACGTTAGTACCTTAGTTGATTATACCTATTTGCAGAAAGTTGGTCTCGACCGACCAAAGCCAAGAACCATCATGGGCATCTGGATGGCGCTATTGATGCCATGCCACGTCTTGACTTCTGAGGCTCCGTGTTTGTGCATGAATACCTGATCAGATGCATTTTTGTCCCATGTTGTGAGAGCTGAACTGAGTTGAGCTGTAGCCTGTGGTGTGAGCCAAGGTGCAATGCAGCACAACAAAGGGGAGCACTAGACTCTAGAGTTAGGTACCTGGTAAGTAGGTAGGAAAAGGTGGTCGGTCGGTCGACAGCATAGGCTCTTGAAAGGCAGGGGAGGCTGGGGAGCTGGGAATGGAGCCCTAGCAACTAACCACCGCCTGTTATAGGCCTCTCTCAGCAATTCCCAGGTCATCTTGACGTTGTCGATGGGTTGTCTCGCCCCCGTTTTATCTCGTGTTAGTGGCTCCCACACACCATCTCTGGTGTTGTCTCTTCGACATGGCGCATAGATCCATCATGATATGGTACGGTGCGGTACCGATACTTATTATGTCGGGTACAAGCTCAGCCACATCTAAGGTTCCCATTTTGAATCTCGATGCTTCCTTCTGATCGGCCCTTTGTCCAACTTGGCTTAGACGCTGCACAAACGCCATTTTTGTGAAAAACTTGCTGTCAGTCTTTATGCAAAGCCCCAGCGAATAAGGCACAAGATCCAGGCTCGTTTAGTTGCTTGGCTACGAGGACGACACCCTACCAACCCTCCACGAGTTGATAGACTTGCTAAGTCAGCGTGCCGGACTCTTGATCACTCCAACCCCCAGGGTATGATACCCCAGTCGATGGATATTGAGCAAGGCCTGAAGGCGAGGATCTGGACTGCGTATATATGGCATTTTTCTCTTGTCGAATTGCCTATCCTGTGATGGGATTCGTGTTTCTACTAAATGGGACAAGTTTCAAGATAGGGTCTGCAAAATAGGTGCCAAAACAAAAAAAACCAAGTTGAGACGATCAATGCTGAGTTTTCGTGTAGGCTAAAATAGAGCGGCGGCTTATTATAGGTTGTGATTGATATAGGGCTCCTACTGTACGTCGCGAATACATCTCAGGAGCTGACGATAGTAGAGCTGGTATTGGAACATAGACCCGATTCTACTCTGGTCTGCCCTGATTATCCCCCAACTCCGCCCATTGAAACACACTTGCTAACGAAGAGTGACAGGATCTGAACCTTGATTTTTCGTTGTAAGACATTCGTCGTTGAACACAATGCCTTGAACTCAAAATACCTGTATTTCCTATGGTTGGCCGGCTTTTCCGGCTGGGCCCCAACGCAATGCATAATGCGCCGTTATCCAGACAGGCCATACGATCCTTCTTGCTATTTGATGATACTGAGTTTGGTTCTGGCTTTGCTTGGCTCGCCTCAGATAATATGCCTGAGTGAATCAAGCTGCAGTTATCATGCATGGTTTTGATCTTGCTAGCCGGCGTAACGACAACCATCCTCCTCGAGGTTGGAACGGTAAAAATACGCCGTCCGTGGAGGAAAAAGAGCAGTAGTTGTATGGCCTCTACATAGTATACAGTCGGAATATTTTCCATAAATTACGAATACTCATATCCAGCCCGTCCCGTTTCAACGGCAACGGTTTTGCCCTGGCAACTTGTTTTCCGAGAACCTTCACAATGTGAACAGTGTAGGGCTTGAACTTACACAGATTGATCCGACCGCCGCCAATGCATCTTTCAGTGGAAGGTAATTGGATCTGCTCTGACGGGATATTGCCGCGGCGAATGACTGGTCAGTATTGATATCACCGCTATTGCATTCCGTATATGTGTTATCCTATGCTGTGAAACTGCTGCACTAGGCCTTTGCTTTGATATTGATACTTGGGTTGATATGATCATAGAAAACCCCCTTCCTCTTCCCGAACATATCATTCATACCTCAGTTACCTGAACTTCAGGCCCTACTGACGACGGTGTTGCCAAATGCTCAGTTCGCGATACTGGAATGAGAGTCTAGAATGAGTTGGGGTGTGAATATACAGTTTACTTACGTCTGATTCTCCTAGAGCTGACAAGTTCCTCATGCAGACTCTACAAGAGGACTGTTCGAACCGCTCTGGTTTACATGCGAGGTTCGCTACATGTTGCTAGGTGGTACGAGTACGAGTCTTGAACATGGAATATTCGACTCAACATCGTTGACCAAGGATGTCGGATTTGTATTCGCTTTTCACTCCCCTCTACAGCATGTCCAACACTTCTCACATCTTCAAGCATTGTTGTGATTATTTATCAATGGTGATATGCTTCGCTTCAGCGTACCGAGGCTGTGTGACAATAACGTGTTGTGTCCTTAACATTATCTTGAATACATTGGCCGAGCCACCTCTGTCGGAAGCATCTGGGTCACTGGTCTCTGCTGATTCAAGTAGATACACAATGTGGCCAGGATTG